TATATATATACATATGAATATACATATGCATATACATATGCATATGCATATACATATGCATATATATATATATATATATATATATATATATATATATATATGTATATACATACATAAATACATTATATATATCATATAGAAGGAGAAAATCTTGATTGCCTCTCCTAGACACAGGTGTGCAGCTATACACAAGATTCTTGTTGAAGGGTTGCCAAGCGCCGAACATCAACTTTGACGCAGTTGTCTGAGTTCGTTGACAGAGGACGGGGTTCTTTAATATCTCCATTACAAACACGATAGTCTGAAAAATTAATGAGAATTATAATAAACACATCGATGGTAAATTACCGTCTAAAAATTGGAAACATAAGTCATTGTTCCCTTTTATAATGAGTGTATTTTCTATTTGTGTATCATGATAGAGGATTAAAGAAATATAAGCTACTATATAAAATAACAACTAACAAACAGAAATGGGAGAGATCTACATCCCACATATCTATAAAACGTAATATCATGACCACAATACCATATGAAAATAGCCTGAGATCTAAAAAGATCTTACGTGAAATAAAACCAAATAAAAAACAAATAACAACCCTCCACAGCTGTGGACACCATGTTTGCTACACACTTACAGATGCCAACTTTCATATTAATTTACCTTAAAAGGAAACAGGAGATGAGAGACAGTTCAAGGGGAAGTGATGGGAGATAAAGAAAAAAATAATAATAATAAAACCGAGGAAAGAATATATCATAATCTGGGTTAGTGATGACAATGATAATACCATATAAATACAAATACAACATTATGACCAAAAGAAAAAGAAAATGCTAAACAAACACTAACTAAACAGACAACACACAGACACACAATTTCACAACAATAGTAATAACATACAATGAAAATAAAACTAACCAAGCTGAGAAACCATTAACAAAATAAAACAACATTCAATTCAAAAATATCTAGAAAAGGGTAATAAACACGTCTTCTCACGGTGCATTTCAACTAAGATTGTCGAGGAGAACAAGCATAAATACAAATCTTACCCCTGCGGCCTTTCTTCTTGCCGGCTGTTGAACAATGAGCACGAAATGAGTATAATAAAACTGAGGGAGGATCAAATTAGGCCAATTTTTTTTTCTAATAATCTTTTAAAACTGTGTATACTTAAGAATGTAAATTTTAAAAATTTAAGTCTTATATCTAAACCATTCCTTAACATTTATATTAGTGGGAATAAAGAGAAAACACAGCTGATTTTTTTTCTTTTTCTCTTAAAAGTAATTTTGCCTGTAACTTTTGGTCTCACTCGGAGAAGATATGTACAGCATTTGTTCAAATCATTTAAATGACAAAGCAAAGAAAATCAAATAAATATTCATTTAAAAAACTATGTTTCAGATACCTAGAAGAAATGTAATCATAAAATTTATTTTGGTAATGTAAATGATATTCCTAGCTATGTATCTAATTTCTACCACATTCATTATTCTTCTCTCCATTGACTAAGTTATATCTCAGACACAGTGTAAATATAATGATAACTTTCTTATTAAAGGCAAAGATCTTTAGAATTAAAATAATATTCTAAAAATTTAAAACCAAAATGAAGTCAATACCACTGGGAAAATGTTGCATTCACTTCAGTGTTGCTAAGTTAAATGTCTCTGCACATAGATGGCTCTGCCAGCACTTAGCCACAAAAGAGTCCATTATTAGATCTTGTGACCTCACCTTTCCTTGAGTTGGCAGGAAAAATGCCTTTTTTTTACTAATGCTATCAATATTAATTCTGTTATTTTTATTATAAACACTGTAATTACTATATTGTTATTGACATTACTAACAGTAGTATCAAATACTAGAATATATAATTGAAAATCAAGGAAAAGGAGAGACAAATACTTCTCTTCACTGGCTCATTGGTGATCGAGTACTTGTGGAGCCATCTATATGTAAAATCAATTACTAAATTAAACACACAGTGGGCATGGCATGTATGCACATGCCTTCCCCGTTGGCATGTAGTTAAGGACCACATTTCTATATTGGTAAAACAGTAAAAATCTGATTTAATTCTGATAAAAATATTTATGATTAAATTTCTAACATCTTAATATTTAACACTGAGCCACCAATCTTCCATATGATTTCACATTCATATTAATACAGCCCCTAAGAAATAATATACTACAGATATCTGTATGTTGTAAAAGGGCTGTACACTTTCCAACTCATCTGGTCTAGTTAAGTTAACATGAATAATTCTATCAAAATCAATATAGTTCTAATGTTCATAAAAGACTTTGCCACTTTATAGTTCTGGCAAGAAGGAGAAAAAAATGAAAGTTTAAAAATGTCTGATGTGAGTTATCTCTCTTATGGACTATCATATTATAATAATCATCACATGGATATATTACGAATTATATTTGCAAATTCATTATATGAAAATTAAAGAAAGTCATTCAATTACTCAAGCTCTGAATTTTTAATAACATACTGCAGTATACTTATACATTTAAGATGGAAGAAATATAAGCATTATATCTAAACCATTCCTTAGCATTTAAATTAGAGGAAATTTATAGCAATAGAAAACATTCTGAATATCATATAAAATTCACCAAAATTGTGTAAACCTTTGATAATTTGGTAAACTTGCCATGAATTCCCATATAGGGGAATATCGGCAAAAATCACCTGAAAATGTGTACTTATGCTCTTGTGATGGTGTAAGGTAGAGTAGAATAATAATAAAAATAAAATTTAAAAAGAAATCAGAAATGAGACTGAAAAAGATGTATTGAAATTGACTAATCTAAAAACAGCAAGGGTTTTGAACTGCCAAGAGTATGGATTTTAATAATGTTCACCAAGTCAAGACAGCTAATACAAATGTAGATCTAAATACTGTCACTGCTGTGTGTTAGTGAGGGAGTGAGTGAAAGAGTGAGTCAAAAAGAGAACACAGAGTGAGAGAGTAAGAGAATGTGTCAATAAGTGAGCAAGTAACAGTAAGTCAATACAATGATTGTACAAAAGTGAGCAAATGATTCAGTGAATGCAAAAGAGAATGATTGTGAGTGAGTAATGGAGTGAGTCAGTGAATGGCTTAAGTTAAATGAGTAATCAAGTGAAAGAGTGAGTAAGTAAGAGTGCATAAGTGAGTGAATGAAAGAATGAGTGAATGAGTGAGAGAGTTATTGACTACATAAGTGAGTGAACGAGCGAGTGAACAAGTCAATGAGTGAATGAATGAGTGAATGAAAAAATAAATCAAGTGTGTGAGGGGCATTAGCATGCAAGAGAGTCAATAACTAATGGAGCAAGTAAATGAGTGAGTGAGTGAGTGAATGAGTGAGTGAGTGAAAGTGAGTGAGCAATGCATGAGTGAGTCAGTCATTCAGTCAGTGAAGGAATAAGTAAATATATGAGTATGAGTGAGTGAGTGAGTGAGTGAGTGAGTGAGTGAGTGAGTGAGTGAGTGAGTGAGTGAGTGAGTGAGTGAGTGCGTGCGTGACTGAGTGAGTGAGTGTGAGTGAGTGAGTGAGTGAGTGAGTGAGTGAGTGAGTGCATGCGTGAGTGAGTGAGTGAGTGAGTGAGTGAGTGAGTGAGTGAGTGAGTGAGTGAGTGAGTGAGTGAGTGAGTAAGTAAGTGAGCAAGTAAATTTGTGAATGAGTGTGAGAGTGTATGTGTTTGTGTCTTTGTCCTGGCACCTATTTTAAACAAAGTTGTCCCTGCTTATTTTATCTAGACCTTCAAGTCTTTCATATATAGCAGATAGCACTTGCATTTTTATATGAGATCCAGGTTAATAGCAAGAAAATCTGAAAGCTTTGATGAAATTTGGAATTGATCATCTACTGCATACAAGATTAACAGATAATAAAAGAGTGAAAAGGTCTAACTCCATTCTATCTTACCATCATATGATTCTAAGTGACTTAATGCAATCACAGTCAGCAAGCATAAATTATGTTTTTTGAATTCCCTGTTGTCAGAACAGTTAAAAAAAAGTATAAAAACAAAAAACAGAAAGGAAATCATAAAGAAATGAAAGAAAGAAAAAATCAACTGTGTTAATTGACAATCAAAAAGATAAATAGGCAACATATAATCTTAGAAAGAAATTCAATTATCTGGAAAGCAAGAGACAAATTATTCTAAAGGAATATAATGCTTCAAAATCTGGATTACAACTCACACAAAACTATATATGATACTGGAAAAATCAGGGGAGCATCAATTAATTCCAAGACAAACTAGATTTCATTATGCATCAGTGGAACAGAAAGGAAATAAAAAGGCATGCTGCAGGAGAGAAATGAAGTTACTGGCAGACAAAAGACAAGGGAAATAAGACAAGGATGACTAAAAAGGGAGTAAGGTTGTACAGTTTGGAAAATTCACAATGGGAGAGGACAAGACTACAAAAATGAACAGGATGGAAAGGTGACGCTTACATTAACCCCTCACTATTAATGTTCGACTTATCTGTGGACTTGTGTGTCTGTTGCTAAATACTATCATATATAAAGAAGACTTACCAAAAATAATATTTCACTATATTATCTTGCCTAATTTTTGTGCTAGCTAACTACTAGCTTATAAACAAAATTGAAACAAAAATTATATCTTATACATTCACGTAAATTTCTCTCAGGCCCTCTTTCTCTTTCTCTTTCTCTCCTTCATTCTTTCTTTTTCTCTTCTCTGTCTCCGTCCCTCTCTCTGTCTGTCTGACTGTCTGTCTCTGTCAATCTCTGTTTGTCTCCGTCTCTCTCTGTTTCTCTGTCTCTCTGTCCATCTCTCTCTCTCTCTGTCTCTGTCTATCTCTCTCTCTCTCTGTCTCTGTCTCTGTCTATATCTCTCTCTCTCTGTCTCTGTCTATCTCTCTGTCTATCTCTCTCTCCTCTCTCTCCTCTCTCTCTCTTCTCTCTCTCTCTCTCTCTCTCTCTCGTCTTCTTCTCTCTCCTCTCTTCTCTCTCTCTCCTCTCTTCTCTCTCTCTCTCTTCTCTCTCT